GCACCCCCGCCCAAAGCCCCCTGAGAGCAAGCCAGAGGCAACAGTGGCAAGGAAATACTCCCTAGGAGGAAGAAACCTTAGGAGGAACCAGACTCAGAGGGGGGGCCCATCTTCCAGGGGCTGGTAGGGAAATTCAATTGATCAGGATTCACATTGTTCCAGTCTTAACATTTGAGATACAATTTTAATTTCCAAAAAAGACAGACTGATGTTTGTGTGAAATATCACACCATGTTGATAGTCGTCGGAAAAAGTATTATAGTTCAGTCAAAAGTGGTTTTTGAATCTAAAGATTATTGCCTGACTGGGAAAAAAATGAGATGGTTGGACCTACTGTAAATGAGGGGGTGATACTGATAAAAAAGTGGAAATGGAAAAGTGGAAAAAAGCACCCTGGGTTGATTTGGTAATGTTAAAACACCCCACACACTGAAGATAAAAAAAATTTAAATCAATGCCACTAGCTCCCTCTACTGTCTGTACATGGTACTTCATTTCCTCTTGTGAGTTTGGCATCTGTTATCATACAAAAGAAAATTATGCACACTAGGTATCATCAGCACAGCATGCATTAGGTTGGGATCTTCAGATCCCAACCTCTATATGCCAGTGGATGTTTTCCAGATACGGCACCACAAGCTGTCTGTGTTTAAAAAGGGGACTGGTTCTTATAATTAAATCAGGCCAAGAATCTAAAGGTTGCCAGTTCAAATCCCAGGAGGAGTTCTGCTCTATTATCCATGGGCAAGGTGCTTGATCTGAATCTATTCAGAAGCAACTGAAAGGACTGCAGTAGAATCCCAAGAAACAGGATGTATAGGATATATGTAGTTATACTCTGATTCTCAAAAAAGTCTGTAAAGATTCCTAATAATGTCCACATCACCTTTAGACATTATTGGAAACATCCACCAATAGCTAATTATCCAGTGCAGCATCGCTGTGAACCTGAAGCCAATCTAGGAAGCAGTGGACAGAAGGCGCCCTGGTTGGGACACCAGTCACCACAGGAAATGTACATGCCTGCTTTTGGTCTGCGGGAAATTCCATGCAGGCGCAGGAAGAACATACAGACTGACCCCACAAACAGCAGGGGCTGGAATTCAAACCCCAGATCCTGGAGGTATGAAGTTACAATCTCAGCACCAAAGCCGCTGTGTTTACAAAACACTAACGCATAATATTTGCCACAATAAATGTTACTAAATAGTTTATTTTACTCTTGCATAGATTAACTTTCTTTTTACAATTTTTTTCTGTCTTTTAGTTGAAAGATGGATGTTTGAAGTCAGACTGAATCCAAACGTACATGAGCGGCCTCATGGAATGTAGGCATTACTTGTTTGGTGATGAAAGTCTTTTTCACTTGCTTTCACTGGAGTTTGTCCTGCACAGGTAATAATCCTCTTTCATCTTTAAGCCCTCATTTAGGATCAAAGGCTGGTGGCTAGGAATTCAAGGGACTGAATTACCAAGAGGCTGAATTGCCACAATCAAAAATGGTTTAATGGCTAGCCTATGCTGACTCTCACTGATGATGATGATGATGATGATGAAGTAATACTTCACCTTTATAACAAAGGTGGTATATTTTGTTCTCAAATTGCAACATCATTCAGTGCACAAGACCTCTACTAACAGCATGATGAAAACGTAATTAAACATAAAAAAATTCTTAACTTTTTATAATAAATACCACCACAAGACTATTTTAGTAATAAAAATTGCAGTGTAGTGTATCATTAATCAAAATACAAATATTTTAAATATCTTGAATTTAGAATATTTTCTCAGATCAGCAAGAAAACTGAATTACATAAATTTTTAAGTTTCTAGGAATTTTAGAAAATAAATAAAGCTTATAAAAAAGACAATGCACATTTCCCTAATAAAGTCACTTTATCCCCTCCTATCCTGAACTTCAAAACTCCCTGTGAGAGTCATGATAATCTTACTGTCTACATGCTGCACACATGTTCATTTCCTTTTTGGAGGGCTGTGCAGATTAGCCAATGGAAAAAGCGTCGGCTCTCCAGCGCAGGGCTGGTAAGCCTGGCTGGGGAAAAGAAATTGGGCCTGTAACGGTCGCAAAGGCACGTGGGAAGGCAGGCACCTCAGTGGGTGGAAATGATTAGAGGCTGGCAGTGTCAGCCCACTCATCAGTGTCTGTAGAGGAAAGGGTGGAGGTGCAACCCCCCCCCCCCATCCCCATCCCGGTCCCCTGAGTCCCCCGAGTCCAAGGGACTAGGGAGTCACAAACACAACTGTCCACTCTTTTTCCAGACTTAATGCTTAACAGCATCAACTTGAGTACAGTGGTTACAAGCAATTTATTGTAACAAAATTACCACACTACCTTCATCCATGACTACTTATCCATTACAGGGTAATGTCTGTGTGTCTGTGTGTCTGTGTGAGCATTGATGAAGTTGACACTTTTAAATGCTAAAAAAATATTTGAATATCTCTAATGTTTTTTTGTAGGCAGTATGAGTTTTTAAATGCTAATGAAAAACATGAATCAAAAATGGAAAATTGGACAACTTTATATGCAGTTGAAAGTGTTTTCACATCGTATTTGCATGTCACTCTGAAGGATCTGTGGCATGTTAATATGCCTTAAAATTTGTAAATTTTACCAATATAAATTGCTGTGGTAACTGAACATTTGAAGCTGATGTGCTAAACGCGTCGATGTCACAGCTCAGACATGTCAGGTATCTTTGGAAGCCTCTACAGGAGATTTATTTCTTCCTCGGTGAAGGTCAGTTATACTGATCTGTTCACTTTATGTAATCTGTCTACACTTCTGTTGTTAGTGAATAATCTACATGTTTTCTCATTTGATGCTGGGTGTAAGAGATCAGATGACATGAATAGAAAGTTGATAAGTTAATAAATACGAAGAAGCTAATATTAAGAAAAAAATCTGAGGAAATCGTTATTATTAATAAACCTCTTGAGAATTGTAGATTTATCCATTGTCTTGCAATTGCTTAACCAGTATATAGTCTATCGCAGATGCAGGCAGGGATAGGGTGCGAGTGCATCAGAGAGAGAGAGAGAGAGAGAGATCAATTCTCCTTATTGTGTGTCTTTGGACCTTGGTGGTAAATGTCTTAGTACCCAGTGCTTCCATAACCATTTATTCACTACGTCACCATCAAAGAGAATTCCACACACGCAGCAGAACCCTAACCAAGCAAAAACCCCGCAATACGCTTTTTCACCAACAGATGGTGATGTTCACCTCCAGATTAAGAAATAAAAAAATAAAACGGCCCAAGGCAAAATGCTTCAGCTTGTACAGCATCGGAATGCTGAAAAAGTGATTACGAGCTTGGGCGTCCAATATGGAAAGTAATTGCCATAATTTGTGGTTTGCAGCATTCAAAGACTCACTACAAACTGAAAACTCCTAGAAAACAGAATAATCTGTGTTTCCTCACCCACTCTTTATATAACCAATTAATTTTGTGGACCTTTGTTATTTGTGTGGGACTGGAAATCATCTGTACGATAAATGGTTTTATAAGTGATGTTAAAAATGTTAGTCATAGGTAGGAGTTATTTTGATTTTCTGATTTTAATGCTATTCAGAGCCTGCTGGCTCACCCAGGAACCACTGGGTCCAGCCCAGTGATTCCCAGTCCGGTGCTCGGGGACCCACAGACAGTCAATGTGCAAAAATGTGGACTGACTGGCAGGGAGCTGGGAGGGAGCAAAAACGTGGACAGTTTGTGGATTCCTGAGGACCAGATTGGGAATCCCTGCTTTACACTATCATAGGGCTACGATGATTGGAAGTGAATGTAGGAGAAGCTCTTGGATGGATGCTGCAGGGAAGCTGTGTATTGAGCTGAAACCCCCATCTGGCAACCGCAGCTGGATCCTCTGATCCTGACAAGGAAACACCGATGACAGAAGCCAGGTGGAGCTCCAGGAGAGTCAGAGGCCAGGAGAGTCAGAGGCCAGCAAAGGAGACGAGCGGCTGCTGCCTGGGTCCTGGGGGAGGGATCACTGTTTCGTTCTGAGCACATCTCCACACCGCATGGAGCTCCAGGCCCATGTGCTGACTGGGGGGAACCCTGCTGTCTCTCAGCAAAAGCACAGTCTGAATGATAAATACTGAATAGCGTTTATATTCTATAAAAACATAACCACTTTAATTTTTAGCCTCGTTGCGGCCAGAAAGTTTCCCTGAAATCAAGTACATACTTTGTTCCTTATCTTCCAAATAATTCTACCATGAGTCTAGAAAACCAAACAGTGCGCATCATGCTACTAATCTGTAGTAATAATAATTGATCCTTTATTGATCCCCATTTGAAAGTGATCTTTACGCCTCCCCCAACTTGCTCTCAGTAGAGGAGAGCAAGCTGACTGCGAAGGGCAGCCACCCATAGCAGCGCCCAGGGAGCTGGGGGTTAAAGGCCTTGCTGAAGGGGCAAGGCTGGGCTTGAACCGATGAACTCAGGCACAGAGATTCAGCCCATGGAGTCACATACTGTGCGGTACAGTGCTGCCTTTCACCTGCATGATTACCTGCTGCATGTTTGCAAATGATTATGTATTTAATGATGCCTTTATTATTCCAGAATGACATGCAGTGTTTATTTAAACATCACCAACTGTGTGATGGTATCAGTCTAGTTTTGTTTCTGTCCAGGAACAGACAAGATGAATCGTAGAATTTTAGGATAGTTTGATTTTGTCAAAATATCAATATGCTATATAGATCGTTTTTACATTATGTATTGTAGGCTCAAACAAATGGTTTCAAATGAATTGCACAGTTACATTATGTGAACACAACTAATGCGACATACCGAGGTCAATTTATCAGCTTTGATAAAACATAGGATTTTATCACAACATTACAAAGTCATACAGACCTAAATGTGAGGTTTTTGGCCAAACCTCCCCCAGACAGATATTTACAGTATCTCAATATGCAAGCACCCCCCCCCCCCCCAAAAAAACAACAACCAGAAACCAGCTTGTTATACAGGAGGTGTTTAATGGAGAGAACTAATGCAGACTGGGTTGTTTCTATTTTGTTTACCCTGAGACGATTTTAAGACAGTAACACACCGACGGAAACTGTGGGCAGAAAAAAAAACACTAAAACCTCAACTACTTATAAAAGACAATTTTCAGTGCTGGCATCTGTGTCACATGGTCTCACCATGCGAATGTCAAGAATAACCTTTCCAAAGGAGCTCTCTTTTTAAAACAGGCTTAAAAATTATCATACATCCATCATCCATTTGATTGCTTATTGTGTTCTCAGGTAGAGGACAGAAAACACTGAGCAAAGAAAAAAATAGAACAAAATCTGCTGAGTAATACAGGATGAGAATCAAGCCAGTCAAGAGGGAAAATACGTGGCTACATAGCATCTGGTGTGAGGTGCAGACCAACAGGTGTTTCTGCAAGCAACACTCCTCCATGGATTTCTCTGCGTGTCATCAGTGCGAGCAAAACACCAAACCACAGATCTATCGCTACATAAAATTAACGGTAAAGTCTTTGGCAATATTTCATTTAGCGGACATTCAGACAGGAGTATGCAAGGGCATACACTAAACGGAGGCCTCTTCATTAACAGCTGTCATATAAACGATGCTTGAAGAGAAGTGGAGCACCATACTGTACGCGCCGACAGCCTGGCCGTTAGAGCGAGTGGGCCGTGATGAAGACGTAGATCCTGGCCAGGAAGGTGGTGAAACTGCCCTGGCGGAGGAGCTTCATCTCGACTTCGATGAGGAAATCGCGGGGCTGCCGCACCTGGCGCTGCAGGTACACGGCGCCAGTGTAGGCGTTCAGCTTGCGGGTGCTGAAGTAGTTCTCCTCGTAGCCGCGGGTGATGCGGATGATGATGCTGTCCCCGGAGTAGGCGGGCGACGGCCCGATGCGGAAGATCAGAGCCGGGATGATGATGTTGGTCTGGAAGTTCAGTTGGTAGTAGGTGATCCTCAGTGGCATGTTCTGACACTCCTGGAAATCCTGGCAGCTGATGCGCTCGCAGCGTCTGGGGGAGGGGCACAGGGTCGGCAGAATCAAACCACAGCAACCAGAACTCCCAGTTAGCACTCCAGTTAGCTGTTCATTACATGAACCCATTCCGATAAATTGCCCTCCAGGAATATTACTGAATATTCTGCAAAACTAATATTACCTTATAGGGTATGTTATATTTTTTTAATACACTCTATAATTAATTGAGCATAATTCTCACCTGATTTAAAGATGAATACATGGATGGATGGATGGATGGATGGATGCAAACATGTAATTAAGGAAGGATGAAAAACATAAGTGACTCACAAACTGCCTGGTTTGGGTTCGACACGTTGCAGTAGTTTCATTCTCGAGCGAAAGCTTTGCGAGCCGCTTTATTTATACCTACTGCTTACGATGTCGTTCCCAGAGAGCGGCACGCACGTCCCCTCAGTCATTCCGCCGATGTCCCCACGCCGACACAGAGGCCGGTCACAAGTGACCCCGTCCCGCTCTTAGCGGGAAATACGACGAACGTCATAATAATCCACGAGACGTGGCGTGTTAACGAGGCTGCCTCGGGGCCCTTGGTGCTGGAAGCTCACGGCTACGCTTTGTGTCTCATCGCACCGACATTCACCCACGGTTCCCTTATAGTGTGATGGGCTCTCTGTGTCCATCAGTGATCTTTCTCACTGTTTTTTGCAGCTTTGTATGTGGGAATTTAAATCGGAATTCACTGCTGTGACATCCCCATGAGACCGAAGTTTGTCTGAGAGCTTGGATCAGAGTATTTTGCTCGCATATCATATTAGCATTTAGTCGGGGGGAGGGGGAGATAAGGCCTGAGGGAGTGAGGAGCGAGAGACTCCCATGCTGCCAGGTACAGCACTTACATGTCTGACACCCTGCGGTAGTTGGCCGGGCAGCTGAAAGACAGGCAGCGGAAGCCGCCCTGGACGTTGTAGCAGGTCTCCGTGGAGCTGCAGTTGTGGGCTCCGTTGGTGCACTCGTCTATGTCTGCAGGACAGGAGAAACGGGTCAGTCTGGGGCTGACAGGAGGAAGGCGTGTCGGGAAAATCCCAATTAGCATGAGGGAACAGGGGCTTATGAGGGAACATCTGAAGATGGTGGCTTCAGGGAACCCTGATCAGCACCTTGGCGGGGACCTGTGCATGGCTTTGTGTGCTTCTGCGGCTTCATGGTCACGGCACAGGGAGACGCTGCCATCGTGCTGCCCGTCAACAGCTGCACGGACACCAGGAGCAGCTCCGACTGCCAGAGGCAGTGGTGCCACTCTTCATTCCGCCAGGAGTCAATACCAGTCTGACTCCAGCAGTAATTAATTATGCATCTCGTTTCACCTGCGCGTCGCCCGTTCCGGCCCGCCGCGTCCCATCCTCATCCCGATTCATTAGCAAATTCGTTAACGCTGAGCTTCGGGGATGGGTGGCCCGACAGCCGTGCCCGGGCGGCACTCACGTTAGTGCTTGGCAGCCAGACTTCACAGTGAGGGATTCCAGCCTGACCTGGCTTTTAGGAGCAAGGAGACGGGGGCTCTAACCTCGGCAAGTACGCCCATTGGGGGACATGGAGTATCCGCTCGGCGGGCAGGCACACTGATAGCTGCCAGGGACGTTGACGCATTTGAAGGCGCAGAGGTGGCCCACGCTCTGGGAGCACTCATCGATGTCTGTAAGCCAAGTAGGAGACGCTCAGAGACGCACCATCAGGCACCGTACCTATTGCAGTCACATGACCGCCTCCCTGACCCACTGGGTCACATGACACAGCCCACCTGGGGACATCAGGTTGGAGACTACAAGACTATGATCGGGGAACATCATCAGCACTGTGTTTGTGTGAATGTTTGTTGTGTAAGTTGGCCACATTTAGCTATTCTGTGAGAAGTTTTAAAATCAGAAACCTTGGATGATGTGTGGACACCCCTAAAAGACAAATGCCCATTTACCAACTCTGCTATTCTACAAGATTTCTTTCATGCTAGAAATTTTAATCTATTTTCAAGTTGGTGTAAGTACTCATTAAGAAAATATGAGAAAATGGAAATTCACAGCAGTTTTAGTTATACACATGTGTGTGTAGGTGTGAGTGAACTATAACAAAATCAATGACAGATACTACTTTGGGTTCTGTCACTGAGCCCAATGAAAATCAGTCACTTATGACATAAGTCATGGCATTATCGACTGAGTGTCTCCACTCTTGGAAATATTGTGTCATTGTATAGTCAATACAGAACGATTCAATATTACACCGTGTCCATTTCATTTTTATTGCTACAGTGTCTTCAAATCAAATATTTAAAGGAAAAGGCTTCATATTTACTAAGTCACTTTCATCAAGTAAAATGAATAAATTACTTTATAGTAGGGCGGCCCACTTCGTTTTACCTTCACAGGTGTGTCCATCTTCCTTGAGGAAGAAGCCTTGCCTGCAGTAACACTGATATGAACCGTAGATGTTGGCGCATTCCTGACTGCAGGGGTTGCTGTTGCATTCGTTCACATCTGGACAAGTTACACATGGCTGCAGTCAACAGGCATGCTCACGGCGGTGATGGTACCTCTCACACTGTGCCTTGGCTCAGACGGGCGGTAAACTACCTTAGTTTGATACGGGATGCTGCCAGCATTGCTAAACTAGCTGGTTTGATTTCATGGACTTAATTGCTCCATTAAAATGCCTCTAAATGGGTTAACAAACAGCACAGCCGCAAAATAAAAACAGTGCAAAGCAATTAAATAATTTTCAGCTGACGCCAAACCGTAAAACAATGTCCAGTTAGGGCCAAACCACGCTTTCGACAATTTCAATAATGGACAGCCATGTAGCTACTGTAGCTGGACATCGTGTTCTGCGGTTAATGTGGCTCTTTTAATAGCGGGGATGAGAGGCCCGGAGAGCCATGTGTCATTTAGTCACTGGGCTTTGTCGCTGCAGACTGATTATAGACCATCACTCATATTTTATGCAGTATGTCACCAATGGCTGCTGGCTCCAAGTCTAGGAAAAACCATAATATGGCTGTAAAATGTCATCGATGTCTGATACATGCAGTGTGTGTATTAGTTCTGGGTGGACTTTGGGGGGGGGGGGTACCTTCACAGTTCTTGCCATCTACAGACAGCGAGAAGCCGGCTGTGCAGGTGCACCGATAGGAGCCAGGGGTGTTCTCGCATGTCTGGGCACACAGCCGGCCCGGGTACCGCCAACACTCGTTGATGTCTGCCAGGGGGGGGAGGGGGGCCGGGATAGGTGGGATGAGGGCACATTGGTTAAAGAGCAAAAAAATGAAGTGAGATTTTAACCTGTGACTCAGTTGGCTTATGCAGCTTAAAACATCTTTATTACTCTCTACTATATAAACAGATGAATTATTCAGCTGAAAGTCACTTGGATATGTCGCTAAATCACATGTCGATGAGTCTCTGCTCTAAAGCTGTAAGTCACTTGGATATGTCGCTAAATCACATGTCGATGAGTCTCTGCTCTAAAGCTGT